ATTCTATTTTTTTTTTATATGGCATCAATTTTAAACACATTATATGCATGATTGATATATGTTTATGTATAATAAATTTTAAAATAATTAATATTAACATATATAATTGAAGTTAAAAAAATTTAAAATAAATTATATTTAAGAATGATATTTTAAAGTTTTATACTAATTAATTTTGTTTGAGTGATATAAACTAAATTTAATTATAAATAAAATTATTAAAGAAAAGGGACATGACACACTTCACTTGTACTAATTATTTTTTATTGTGCACTGCATCACATTATGCAAACTGTTATGGAGATGTTTAGTTTTTTTATTGTGCACTTCACTTGCACCAATTATTTTTGATCGTGCACGAGAGAAAGTGAACCTTGATCTACATGTGTTAAGAGTCTTTTTTTTCTATGACTTACATCCAATATGACAATTTGTCTTTGTGGGCAAAAAAAATTTAATTATTATTTTTTTAATAAATATTTACGAAAATATAGTCATTTTACCACTAAATACGAATCTATTACACTCAAACACACTTAGAATAGGTGTGACCACTCACGCCCATAAACAGGCGTGACTCAATAGAGAGACACGCCTAAAATAGACATGACCGGAGAGGAAAGAAATACGTCCCATTTGGACGTGACCCAGGAGGGAGACATGCCCAACCTGAGTGTGAATGAGGTCCTCCGTAATAATTTGCTTATACTGACATATGAGATAATAGTACTTTCTCCTAGTTTGTTTTCTTTTACATAATTACATGCACCACTGGACAAGGTTGATATAGATAAAATATGAAAAGAAATCAATATGGTTTCTAAAATAAACAAAAAGATAAATTGAATGTATAAAAATATATTTTGTTTGATGCAAAAATTAAATATGATTATTTACTTAAAATCCAACATACTTTTATATGAAAGAATAAGAAACAATAAATCCAACATAATTTATGATTTATGATTATTTTTTAATGTGTAGAATTAAATATTGTGCAAAATGGAAGATGCAAGGCACTTGGCGATATTCATGCACTGATGTGCACTGTCGTTTAAAAGTTAGAATTAGATTTTTTTTTTCTTTCCGGAATAGAGGGAATAGGTATAGTTTGGAGTTTGGAGAGCTTTCACATGTACGATTGAAAGTTATGTTGTGAAAATATCTGTTAAACTTCGGAGAGAAACAACGTGAGAAGAGATCTTGGCCTTCAAGACAAGTAAAAAATCAGTGGCCTTTAACCAAAAAAAAGAAAAGAAAAAAATCAATGGTATCTCGAAAGCTGGAAGGGAAAAACTTGGGGACTTGGGGTCTTTTGTTTGAAGTAGTGTAAAGTTAATTTTAAAAAAAAAGTAAACTTGATAACACAATAATGAGCAGTGGAGCAAATTATTACGGAGGATCTCGTTCACGAAAATTTCTTTCTGTTACGGATGCACTGTAAATTCGGTGTATCTACCACTCATATTGTAACATGTGTTTTATTTTTGTCAAATCAATAATAAATAAATTATTTTAAAATTAGGAGAGAGAGTGATTTGATATAAAGTAAGACACGTGTCACAATATGAGTGGAAGATGCACCGAGTTTTCGATGAATCTGTAGTACCAAAGATATTCTCCTCATTCACGTCCAGGTGGGGGCGTGTCTTCCTTTTGGGTCACGTCTAAATGAAGTGTGTCTCTTTTCTCTCCGGTTATGTTTATTTTAAACATGTCTCTTTCCTCTCCGATTATGTTTATTATAAGCATGTCTCTCTCTTGAGTCACACCTGTTTATAGGCACGAGTGATCACACTTATTCTAGAAGTGTTTGAGTGTAATAGATTCGTATTTAGTTGTAAAATAATATATTTTTGTAAATATTTATTAAAAAAATAATTATATTTTTGTAAATATTTATTAAAAAATAATATTTAAATTTTTTTTTGCCAATTTTTGTATAATGAGAGCATGATGACTCGTATAAGATTTAAACTTAATATATATAGGTTAGAGAAGAGACTTAACATAACTCTTGTCAATAGTTTATATACAATTAAGTCCAGTCAATACTAATGACTACAATGTGTTGTCCAACTAAACACAATACGTACCAATAAATCCATAAGCTCAACTTATCATCATCACAATAGGCTCATTATATTAGTTAAATTAAAATATTCATCAAACCGATTAATTTAAAAAATAGAAATATAATAATTGATATTGTTCATGTATAAAAATTTCTAAGAATTTATCATTTGTTGATAGGTTTATGTTTTATTTTTAATTGGGATATAAAATAAATAATTATAAATACGATATATTTAAAAACAATTTCATCGATAATTAATAAGAATTTATAATATATTTATATTTAAAATAAAATAAAAATAATATTTTAAAAACATTAAATTAATATCAAGATAGGTATTTGATTCACATAAAACACTCAAATCAGTGGTGAATACTATTTATATATCCTCACGAAATTTAATTTAATTTGTAAATTCTATATTATTTGAATTTATTAATTATGTTACGTATTTTACAATTTTGTTATTAATTTTTCATAGTCTAAAAATATTTTATTGGGTGCTTATTGTTAAATCAACGTTTCAAAATTTATAACGATGCTCAATCAATATACATCTTATTGTACATTTTTTAATCTATATAGCCAAGTTTCTAAAATTTTATACATACATATATGATATGTATGTAATTATAAAGAGCGGAAATATAAATTGCAAAAATATAAATTGGTGTAATATAAATTGCTACAGCAATTTTGCATTAACTTAGAGTAAAACTCACTTAAGTGAATTTTCTCTCATCTTTTCACCCCAAAAAACCGAAATGGCCATCTTCCTCCATGGAAGTTTTTGTAGTATATAAATTTTTAACACGGTTCTTAAATTTTAACATACCATAAGAAATTTCTAATAATAGTATAATCGCTGCAACCAAACTAAGATTTTTAAAATTGTTTGAATCTAATTACAAGCTTTTAATTTATAAACATAATTGAATATCCCCTAAATAATATAGAGACTTACCTATTGATTTCACCAAATAAAATTCAAAGTCTTCAGCGTGAAATCAATGATGCTGACCTCAAACTTTTGGGTTGAATTTGCAAATTTAAGATAACTTCACTGGCTTTTTAGCATTTTTTTGAATTATTAATTCTAATAATATCTAACAACATAAATTTAAGTTAAAATGATAATAAATCGTTCATATACATGTTAAGAAGTTATTAACAAAGTTTTTTTCACTCTAAAATAAATATTTTTTAAAGTTCTCTCATAAATTTTTTTACAATAAATTGTTTTAAATAAAATAAGTTAATCTAAACGCATATTTAATTGATCTAAATAGTCACTTATGTTAACAAAAGAATAATATTATCTATATACACTTATACATATATATCACCTCATATTTATATAATTTTAATTATGTGATTTTAATTGATCTCACCTAACTTGTTGTGCTCTAAACTTTAGTCTCACAAGTAACAACCTCATATAATGTACTTGATATTGATAAACAATAAAAAAATTTGAATAATACTCACATGGGATTGGCTAGTGATGTGAGAATTGTGTTCCGGAGAAAGAATCTAGCTCTAAGAATAAGGATTGATATACATCTTGTATATGTCTACGTCATCTCACCAAACGATAAATTTAGAATGTAGATGTATTAAATGGAAAATAACACCAATTATAATGTCTAAGTAAATATGTATGTGAGTTTTGTTCTGACCAAATTAAGTAATTATGTATGCTGGTAACAAAATTTTCTTATATTTCATTTTGCTTATTAAAAAAAAAATTATTAAATAAATTTTCTTACGTATGTAAGTTTTTATTTTTTTAATTTTTTTTCTGATCCTGTATCCACGATATGATTCGGCCAACCCAAAATCTTTTCACGTTTCTCCGATCATATTCTCCCATCATGCATATATTTACTGATTTTAGTGTAATTATATATAAATAGGGCAGGATTCATTTATATCGATATAAAAAAAACATATATCAAATTTTAGTTATTAATCAATGTACATTCGACTGTGGTAATTCATTAAAAATTAACAATTAATTAATGAATTAATTTTCAAAAAATATAATTGTTAGATGGGAAAATATTTGTTATTTTAAATGATATAACTTTGTGTCTTTTTATATCTTAATCGTAAATTTTCGTCAATCAATGATTATAATTTATTGTGAATTAATAATTAATTAATAAGTTTAACCTGATAAATTATAATTGTTAATAGACGAAAATTAACAATTAAAATCTAAAGTGTCACAAAATTATATCTTTTAAAAGGACAAACGTTTTTCCCTAGTTAAATATACAAAAATTAATTGAGATTTAATATAAGATTTATTATTTTTAAATTGATCACATCTCATATATATATATATATATATATATATATATATATATATATATATATATTAATAATTTTTTTGAAATTATAGAATTATGGAATTATTGCAACTACATAGTTATTGCCTGGAAAGCACGGACACGCTCCAAATTGGAAAATTTGTGTGTCCGATACGGACACGAGTCCGACACGCGGTCAATATTTGATGACACGTTGTCAACTCTCTGACATGTTTTTCCGACACGCTGTCAACTCTTTTCGACACGCGATCAACGCTCAGACACGATTTTTTTTTAATCTTAATTTTATTTTGTTAACTAAATATAAAAGAGATAATTTATAATTAATTTTTTTCTGTTATAAAATTTGACATGAAAAATTAACAAAGTTTGAAAAAATTATTTATATTTATGTTATAAAATTTAAATATTTGATTGATTATATAACTTATTATGGACTCTTATATGTATTAAATATAAATTATATTATATATATTAAAATATGTCACCGTTTCGTGTCGTGTGTCAGTGGATAGTAGGTTATTGCTCGTTAACTCAAATTGATGACACGTTCTGTTTCCAAGAAAAAAAAAAAAAATTTGATGACACAAATGATCTACAAAATTAAGAATCCCCGTTTGTGTTGTTAGTTGTCACTTGTCACTTTTGTCACCTCTTTGGTGTCAAACACGCACACTCACACATTCATAGAGAGAGCGCAAAACCTTAGTCCTCCACCGACAACACCTTCCGAAAATGGAGGCGGTGGGTTCAAGGCTGGGCCGAGCCTCCTCCCGTTACGGTGCACCCACCGTGTTCAGCGGCCCCGTCAGGAAGTGGAAGAAGAAGTGGGTTCACGTTTCCTCTTCTTTAAACAACAACTCTCACTCTCACAACAACAATAACAACAACAACGCTTCTTCTCGTCTCCTTCTACGCCGTTGGACTCCTATCACTGCCACCAACGCCGCCGACGACAGCTCCGGCAACGTATCCGAGGAGCCACCCAGAAGGAAGTTCCGTTACACTCCTGTATGTCTGTGTTATGTTTCTTTTGTTTCCCTTTTATTTTAAAAAAGAAAGAAATAAAATATTTAATTGGTTTTTTATATTTTGATAAAAAGTTTCGATTTTTATTCTTCCACTGTGTTGATGGGCGGTGATGTTTTGGTGGGTTTGCGGCCTTTTGTGTAAATTTTTGGGATTTTGCTATAGCAAGCGGTTGTTATGGAGTGAAGAAAGAGTATTGGGGTTGTTGGATTGTTTGCATGTGGCATGGCATGAATTGGGATATTTTTTTTTTTAGTATAAGTTGGAGGAGACTAATTCCCTTTTTGAGGAGAGAGCCACGCCCTCTGGCCCCAAAAGATTTTTTAAGAATTTGCTTGAGACAGGATTTGAACCCGTGACTCAACCAAACCCTTGGGAGTTCAATTGCCAACTGATATACATTTAGGTGTTATGAATTGGGATTTGGGGTAGTGGGTTTTGGGTTTGAATTTCACTGCTCCTTTTTTTTCCCCTCCTTCTGGGGTCTGGGCTGTTTGGTACTTTTGGCACTGAAATGTTTTCTTTATGGTTGTTTGGGTCTTTATTAAGATAAAGATTGTGGTTCCATTGACTATTGAAATTTGCTTCTTAGGTTTTTGGTAGAAAGTGGGTTATGTTATATTATTGTGTATGGCTTGGTGTGTGGGTGGATCGTTGCTATGACTATTGGTTTCTTTAGTTGGAATTGGCAAAGGAATTCCCTCACACAAGTCTAGTAAGTTTTAATCAAGAAATTTTGATAAAGAAAAACCTGGTTGTACATTATCTTATCAGTTACATCCCTCTTTATTTTTTCTTGGTGAATTACAATTTCAGTTAATAACTGTTTTTTCATTATGAGTGAGGGTTTGTCAATGTCATGATGCAGATTGCTGTGCTAGAAGAACAGAAAAAGGTGGTTGTCGAAAAGGCTAAACATGAACCCACAACTGATGGTGATCAATTGACAGCTAGGCAGACAAATGTGACTAATGAGGTGCATGGGAAGCTGAACATGAATGAAGTTTCAGAGGAGACCAAGGTAAAGTAACCGAATTCTCCGTTTCTGCTTTGAATGGTTTTGAACATTTCTCTGGTTTCAATATTCAGACTTTTAAGGTGGACATAGGACTTTGATGTTCTTCAAAATTTTGATCTTGTCTTCCCTTGCATCAGGTTGCTCTTATATTATCCTTTGCTTACAATCATAGACATATGCTATACAAAAAATAAAATAAAAAAATCATGGACATAAATGGCTATTTGATGATTATTTAATTTAACATTGTACTGCTACTGATTTTTGAGAGTATGAAGTAATCATAAATATTATTAATCATAATATTATATCGTAGAAAGAACTATTTAAAAAACATGACATATTTACTGAATCATGCTTAGTACATGGATTATTTATGATGCTTAAAAATAATTATTGTTTGCATTTGCAGAATGTGACAATGTGGTGGGCCTATATAGAGTCAATTATATGAATTACAGTGTCAAGTTACCTTCTACTGGCATTCAAATTTGCATATCCTGTTAAAAATCAATACTTGTGCATGTTATCAGTGTTGGCTTAAATTCTTAACGCACTGTTGATCTGCAGTGGAATAATTAAATTTCATCGGTAGTATTCCACGAAAAGTCATTGCCAGCCTCTGGTCTGGTTATCATTTCTTATTAGATTATGGAAAAGAATGAATAAACATATTTCCTGTGGTGATTATCACGTCATAGACATTTAGGAATGATTGTGAGTTCATGCAATAACTTTGACACCATGTGAGGACCGCTCGCATTTGTCACTAGGTGATTTGGAAATCATTTTGCCAATTCAGATATAACATTGTAAAATTTACCTATGTTGTGCTTTGTCATTCCAAATTAATACTTAGCCGGTCCTACGTCCGGATAAAAGAGGAGAGTTGTGTTATGAAATTGATAGCATGCACAGACAATATGATTGTGTTAATGTTTGGTCATTACCGGTAAGGACTTGATTTTTAGTAGAACACAATGAGGATCTATGTAGCTAACCCCACCAAGTGGGAAAAAAGTTTTTTTGTTGTTGTTGTTGTTGTTGTTGTTGTTGTTAGGTGTGACATTATTATGATTAATAACATTGGTCTATATATCATTTGGTGTTGCAGGATTCAAACATGAACAAGTTGGATCTTGGGTTAGGCTTTGAAGGTAGCAATGGTGAAAACAGCCAGAACAGTGATGATCAATTGGAAAAGAACTGAGAGTATCTGGAAGTAGAAAATCAAGCTGTCTGCAAGCTAAGTGATAGTTCAAGAAACACTGAGCCAGTACATATGACCTGTTACCACCTATTTTAACATAAATGTAGTTTGCCGTAATCTTGTGAATAATCAGTACTTAATTAGTGCTAGTAGTATAGGAATGATCAGTAAATAGTGTTAGTTAAGCGTAGGATGATTAGCTGTATTATGTGATCGGTCATACATGATGTGAGGTTGTACTAAGTGGCAGTAGTATATATATAAATACATAAAATCTTAAGAAAATTTGACTGCTTGTATTTTTAAGACTAATAGGAAGGATTAATTATCAATGCTCGTCCCTCCTCTGGGTCCGTCACTGTGCCTATGCCTTACATTTGTGTGACTTTTTGGAAAATGACAACAAAGGGAAAATGACTTTTTGGGGGGTTAAAATAGCTTTGCGGCAATACCAGTTTTCAAGTAGTTAGTTCCCTATGTCAGTCTTCAATCAGTGGTAAACTGTAACTGCTTCACAGTTCACACCATTACCAGGTGTTGCACTAAGGATGAAATGGAATTCATATGCCAATTCCAGAACTTCTATTTTGTGTTTTCAGTAGTTGCTCTGAACAAGAGTTGCGAGACAGCGTAAGTATGAGAAATCCTTTGACAACTATCTCGTTTGTACCATCCTTATTGCTCATAATTAGCAGTGAATATTTTTTTTTCCTTCAATGAAACCAAAACCAGATGTTCCCCGTCAATGGATATAATGTCTAAATGACTTAGCTAAAATTATTGTTACTTTGTTCAAGCTCCCAATGATGGTTTACCTACCTCCAGTTGAACTGGAACTATTTTCAAATTCTTCGCCTGATCTTCAAGTTTTTGACTTCTCAATCGTTTAAATTCTTCAACTGAGCTAAAAAACGATTATAACATTCCTCCCTCAACTGAGTTTTTCCTTTTCAACTATCTTGGAAGTTCAATTTACTATTGCCACTTTTAAGTATGTCTACAAAAAAAAAAATTCCATTGCCAAATTTGCAATAATATCATCAAAGCAAACTCAATAATGGCAAAACATGCAAGGTAGCTTGAAAGGATGGTCAGTTACCTCTGAAATGGACAGAATAGACCTATGAAGGGTCTACAATTTATCATTGGTTGTGAGTAACCCCTTGATCCCACAAAATCTAACAAAATCTCAATTTGAGACGTAGAATAAGACCTGAGCTTCATAGCCAAGTCCTATAATTGGAAACTGGTCAGAGAATGGGACAACCATTCACAAAGAGCTGGTAATTGTGTCTGGGTGTCAGCCCCATCCACCAGCTAGCATGGCCATCACCCCTTTAAAATACTAAATCATGCAAAAACACACACAAAAATGAAAATGAGAAGTACAAAACCCCTTGGAATAAAAAAGACAGCAAAACAAATAAAATAAAAAAACTGCATCCTCTCAAGACTAACTTCAAATCTTACAATGACTGGTCTTCACCACTTATAAATCATGATTTGTTTAAAGAAAGGGACTGGAATTTCCTTAATTTAGTGCGGGTATGTAGAGGTCCCACTACAAAAGATATCACTACAATGAATCTGTAAATAGCATGAATACAACCAAAATCCCATGGAATAAACCCATAGTATGACATTTTGTTATTACAAAACAAAATAAAACTTTGGATATAACGAGAAAAGAATAGTCCTTTGCGTGCAGGACAAAATACAGTCCTGCAAAAGAGAACTAGTGCCGAGGCATTTTCTTCATGCCACAATCACTCTGCTGCATTGTTATTCTCTGCTTCTTGGGTTACACCAACTTCCGCTGGACGAATAACACGATCATAAAGCATATATCCTGCCTGCAAATATAACCATAGTATTGGTTTTCATTCATGCTTTCAATCTCTAAACCCTTGTTTGGATTTGATGGTAAGGAATGGAATGGAATGACAGGCAGCATTGTTTGAATGCTTAAAAATGAACCACCAAACAAAATCAAGAATATGACCACATTTATTCCAACATCAAGAAAAACAAAACCTCCAATAAAAAAGGAATTTAGAAAGTAAAATCCTTTTGCCAATCATAAATGGAAATAATCAGCATGATTGATGTAATAAACAAAAAAGTTTGTCATAAGTAGTGACACGCACCAACCTAGACTTCTAATATAGCAAATTTTCTGTTCGAAAGGTATTAACTGAATACAACAAAAACAATTTTGAAGGTCCAGGCAAATTTTCAAATTGGAAAAAATAAATAAATCATGCTACTATGATAAAACAATTATGTAAAATACCTTGAGAACAACTCCAACAGTGCCTGGGGGCTTAGAGGCATCAGGTATTTGGAAGATGGCGTTATGCCTGTGCGGATTAAACGGCTCATTTGTAGGATCAAATTTTTCTACGCCAAACTTTTTAAGTACCTGTAAGCAGAAGTTGTCAACCTTAAAGAATAAGATTAACTGATTAAGCACTAGTACTAGAAGCACATTATTTTAAGCAAACAATGATGCAAAACATAACTAGCAAGCTTACATTTCCTACACCATACTTTGAGTATTGGGATTATGCAATAATATTTTTGAAGTATGTAAACTCTTACAATTCAAGTTTACCTAAACTCTCGAGTTTGACAACTTTGCTTTCTTTGATTTTCTATACAACTAGGGCTACTTTCCTTGCAGACAACATGAACAATTCAATCCATCAAAGCCAAATTACCACAGTTCATTCTTCCTTCAAATTCCATAAAACCATTCTCAATCCTAGAAAGTGTGCACAACACCCAGACAACCACCAACCGGAGCCAAAAAACCCCTCCTAATCCTTGCAAATCAATCTCCACCCTTTACACACACACACACACACAATGAACCTTCAAAATTCACCTATTTTCTACCATAAATCCAGAAAACCATATAAATGTAGAACTTTGCAACAAGAGTTAAATATAACCATATAGCTTTGGCTATTGCAAGTAAACAGCCACATCATAAAGTAGAACTGTCTACCTCTGCAAGTTGTTTCTCAGTCATTTCAACACCATCCAGAAGTGTTTTCAGGAGTTGTGCTGCTTCAACAGAGTCCTTAGGTGATTCAATTTTTGAAAAGCTGTCCTTTACAACGGAGGAAGCTCTTCCCAAATTGTCAGCAACATCCAGTATACTCTTTGCAAAATTCTACATCACATTTGAAACCACTCAGCACAAAGTTGAAAAATAAATAATTAGGGAGCAAGAGATCTAAATCACAAAAGTAAAAAAGGTCAAAACTCAGACCTGTATACCAAATTTTTTTGAATTCTCTGCTTCACGTCTTGTCCTGTCCAACACATTCTCCATCTCTGCATAAGTACGTAGAACTTTGTCCTGCATTTTCTCAATCTCTTTGTGCTTCAATTTCAAAAGTTCTTTCTTCTCAGCAACAAGCTTTATTAAATCATCCCTCGATAGTTCACATTCACTCTCTATACCTGAATCAGAAAATGCAGTTCATTCAAAACCTCTAGTCTTTCTTTTAACATATTGAGATAGAGATTAAGATTGAGATTCTGAAATAGAACCTGATTCTTTGGTTTGGTCTGCAGCTTTGGCTTGTTCAGATTGATCAGTTACCTCAGCTTCTTCACTTGTTTTTGTAGGTTCATCACTTGTAGGTTCTGGTGAGGCCACCGAAGAAAATCCAAATCTTGGAGTCAAGGATGAGTTTATTGGTGGATTCATCAAAATGGCTTGAATTGGAATCATCTGGAATATTAGAAAGCAGAAATTAAACTTATGAGAATTTTGCATTGCATAACTAAAACTAAATTTCATCAATAAACAACTTTAAGGGACAAAATCAGATCACGGAAAAATAGAACAATAATAACCAGTAACTACAAATAATTTTCATACTGTCATTTATATAAGAAATGCAAGAAATTCTTGGGGCCTATTAAATTAAAATTCATAAAACAATAAAAAAAGAAAAGGACAAAGACTGGAAATGAGAGAAAAAGAATAAGAAAACGAAACTTATTTTATACTGTGATAAAGCTCAGGTAAAGTTTTTTGCACCCCAGAAAAAAAGAGGCATAATCAATCGATTTTTTCTTTCAAAATCAAGCAAAGAATGACATCCTAAAAAATCCGTCAATCCAGAAAAAACACTTTACAACGATTTTTTAAAGTAAAAATATCCAAAGAGCACTTGTTAACCTTAAACAAGCCGAAAACTTTACAATACAAAAGGCCTAGCTAGAAGAGATTATTTGACTTTAAAAGAAATGAAAAATCAACAGTGAGGTATTTTCAAAATATGTAATGCAAACAAGAACATCTTATTTCAATCAGCATCAAATATGCAAATACCAATCTCCCACCATAATTTTTTTTTTAAAATAAAAAATAAAACAGCAAAAAGAAAACTGAACTACGATCTATAAGCTTCAAATTTTCATATTAGTTTCACACATAAATCCTAAACTCAATTATACCATCCACAATCACAATTTTTTTAATAAATCCTAAAACCCTAGTAAAACCCTACTATAAAAAATTGCCAAAAATTATACTTTTTCGCTCATTTTGAGGGCTCTACCTTATTGGGTGATTGATGAACGAGGAAATGGAAGTGGTGATTGGAGAGAGTGGTGGAGAAGGGTTGGGGCTTCTGCGAAGCAGAGAAAAGCATGGAGCTTCGGCACACTGTTCTTGAGACACGAGATACGACCCTAAACATCTCTGAAGAAGAAGATGATGAAGAAATGGAAAGGAAAATGGATTGAGTTGGAATTGGGATTGGGACAGAGGAGGAAGGTGGCGAAGCAGTGGAATCAATTTCAGACAAAAAAAAAAAACAAATAAAGAGAAAATTGCGTGGAGAGAAAGAAAACTGGGTTAGGCTGAAGAACATGGGGTTTAGGGTATATGGGTCATATTTTTTGTTGACCATATTGCCCTTTATTTTAGTTTCATGAGATAGCAATTTTTTTTTTCATACATATATTTTTAATTTTTTCTTTATAGTAAGATGGATAATATGGATATTTTATATTGGGGAATATTATAGATTATAATTATAATACATAATTATAATATTAAAATTACTTTTTTATATCACATTAGTCAATAAAAGGAGAATTTTTTTTTTAATATTATAATTATGCATTACGATCAAATTTCTCTGTGATATCACAAATCGCAAACCCTTTATATTGATATGCTAAATATAACTGGATTATTTCTTTTATATACTTAATTACCAATGTACAGGGTTATTAAAACGATTGGATAATGATTCATATGTACAGGGTTAATTAGGATATGTGTGAGATTTTAATATATTCAAAACACACACTCACACTATACAAATACAATACTAGTATTGTTATATCAAGCAAGTAATTAATAAATAATTGGAATGGGATCAATGAGTAACCCAATTTATTTCGACATATTTTTTTTCTCTATATTTGAATTTTTGCTTCCCCGGAAAAAAAATTATGAGTATTAAAAATATTAACCCAAAATATATATTCTTTTTTCGTATTATTCATTTTGTTAAAGTGGTAATAATTTTACCACTTCATACAAAATCGTGTTTAAGAATAAGTCGTATGTAAGTCATGATATATGGCTAAACTGCGACACACGTAACACATGTAGGATGTAGGAAGAAGAGAACGATTATACTAAAGGTGACAGGTGGTAGTACCTAAAAAAAAAAAAAGGTCACAGGTGGTGTCATGCCAATCAAAAATACAACTAATATATTTGGTGAGTTTAAATTGTTAGTACATAAGTGTCCTAGAGACAATCTGAATGTCAGATGGATCCATGTGCTTCTTTATTTATTATAAATAAATTTTATGAATAAAAATATTATTTATCTTGTTTCACATTGTATGTCTCAAATATTGAATATGAGTAATTGGATAAAGCCCTTGGAATGGAACGAGTGTCACATTAAGGATCTGTGATAGGGATCACGATCATGAGGGCTCAATGACACCACACGTCCATTGCCAGAAATATGTTCCTAGTCTAGAGATACCGATAATGGACATTGGTTATCTCGGGTAAGACTACCACAACTCAGCTACTTGCATGGAGATGCAAGATAGAGTCCTCGTGAGCTGCAGATATGGAGATGTCTTAGCTGACTCGTGGGTGGACCTATTGGAGAATAGCTCGCACTGAACTGACCCACAAAGAGACTGTTGTAACCCAACCCATGGCCCAGCCCATCAGGGTACAACCCAAACGCATGAGGACCAGCCCAAGATATTTAGATGACTACCTCACATGATCTGAGGCCAGCTTGCTGATTATTGTTCTGATTTTATTTCCTGTTTAATTAAGATAGTAGTCATTCCTATTTTTAAGCGTTGTTATTTCCTTTAGTTGTTTCTTTTCGTAATCATAGGATTAGCTGTTGCAACAGCCTTCGTATTTGAATTCTAGATTAGGGTTTACTTTACTATAAATATTGGAAGCAAACCTCAATGAAGAAAGAGTTGTTTTGACAGAATTCTTATCTCTCCTTCTTCTCAAATTCGTTCTCTTCCCTATTTTCCCTCTACCCCCTTACATTTGGTGCTTTCATTCCTGAACTTACCTCCATGGCTGAAAAGACTACACGCATGGCCCAATTACAAGATCAGATCACCGCTGTGGACGAACGACTTACAACGTTCATCACATCCGCCAATGAGGACCGGCAAACATTACTTCTGCAGATGCAACGAACCAACCAGGAGCAACTCGACCTCAGGCTCGATAAGTTCCAGCGCGAAATCACAGCTCTTCTAGAGACCCAGCGTCTCCAGCAACCTGCTAGTAGCGTTCTTGGACCAGTTCCGCTTCGTACTGATCCAAACAAACCCAAACCGGTCCGCCTTGTCTTCCCTCGGTTTGCCCAGGGCGATCCTACTGATTGGTTGTTTGCCGTCGACCAATATTTTGAGTATTACTCCATTACAGAACCGGAGAAACTGCGTTTGGCTGCCTTTCACCTTGACCCACCAACCTCTCAGTCCTCTTCTGTTCCAATCAAGCGGCTTTCCCAAAGTGAAATGCTGGCACGAAGGGAAAAGGGACTTTGCTACAACTGTGACGAACGGTATGTTTTTGGCCATAAATGCAAACAGGGTTCTACTTTTATGTGCATGTTAGTCGATGACGACGAAGAAACTGCGCATGCCGAGGAAACAACAGAAGAAACTACTCCTGACAACCCTGAGTATCCTGAAATCAGTTTCAACGCCCTCTTTGATCACCATTCAACCAAGGCTTTTCGTCTCACGGGCACTGTTAAAAGCACCGCTGTCCAGATACTGATAGACAATGGCAGCACCCATAACTTCATTACAGAACGCGCTGCAACCCACTTGCACTTACCCATCCAATCCATCAGCCCATTTAAGGTCCAAGTGGGCAACGGAGACAACCTATTTTGCCAAGGAATGTGTACTAAGGTTCGTATCAACCTTCCAAATCAACACATTTTTGATATTGACCTCTTTGTGCTTGAACTTCAGGGCGCGGATATTGTCCTTGGTGTACAGTGGCTATCCACCTTGGGACCAGTAATAACAGATTACCACACACTTACCATGACCTTTACCCACCAATCTAAACCCATCACTCTTCATGGCAACACCAGTTTAACACCTTCCGCCATTACCAATGCCCAACTACACAAACTAGTAGCCCACGAACCAATCCAGGCCTATCTCATGTGTATGACCACATCACAGCCACGTACAAACCCAATGCCTAATATTCCACACACCATCTCACCCATCCTCACCGAATTCCAAGATGTTTTCTTTAAACCTACCAAACTTCCCCCACATAGACCAACAAACCACCATATCCACCTTCTTCCCAACACAAAGCCCATACAGGTAAGGCCTTACCGGTATCCCCATTATCAAAAAAATGAGATTGAGAAGTTGGTCTCCGAAATGATACAGGAAGGAATAATACGCCCAAGCACTTCTGCCTATAGCTCACCGGTCATACTAGTCAAGAAGAAAGATGGAACCTGGCGTTTTTGTGTTGATTACAGGGCCTTAAATGCTATCACGGTCAAGGACAAGTTCCCAATTCCCACAATAGACGAATTATTAGACGAACTACATGGTGCATCAATTTTTTCCAAGCTCGATCTACGGTCCGGATACCACCAAATACTGATGGATGCCTCTGACATTCACAAGACAGCCTTTCGCACACACCATGGCCACTACGAATTCCTCGTGATGCCATTTGGTCTGTCCAATGCACCATCTACCTTCCAAGCGACTATGAATGAGGTTTTTTCAGCATTTTTATGAAAATTCGTTGTCATTTTCTTTGATGATATCTTAATATACAGTCCCACACTGACTGCCCACAAGGAGCACCTACAGACGGTCCTTTCCACTCTAAAGGAACACTCATTTTTTGCCAAGCAAATGTTTGTTTGCCCAAGAGCAAATCCAGTTTTTAGGTCACATTATATCTGGTAAAGGTTTGTTACCCGACCCGGAAAAAATTAGTTCAATTATTAATTGGACGCAACCTAAGAACGTGACCCAGGTACGCGCTTTCCTAGGATTGGCTGGATATTACAGGAGATTTATCAAAAAATTTGCAACTATAGCTGCCCTTCTTTCAGATTTAACCTCTAACACAGATTTCCACTGGGGCGACAAGGAATCAGCAGCGTTTGAAAAATTAAAGCTATTACTCACCACTGCTCCTATTCTGATTTTACCAGATTTTTCTATTCCATTTATTTTAGAAACAGATGCATCCGGTGTGGGTATCAGAGCCGTTTTAATGCAGCATGACAGACCTATCGCGTTCTACAGTAGGAAACCATCCCCGGCAATGCAAAAAAAATCAACCTACATACGCGAAATGTTTGCTATTACTAGTGGCGTGGCGAAATGGCGACAGTATTTATTAGGCGCTACTTTCATCATTCGTACTGACCATAAAATCCTGTTTCATCTCATGAATCAAGTTGTTCAAACCCCAGAACAGCAACAATTCCTGTCACAACTGCTGGGCTTTTCATACACTATTGTTTACAAACCAGGCAAAACAAATGCAGCTGCAGATGCCTTGTCCCGGTTTCCAGAAGGAGGTCATGAATTACCTCACTCCCAGCTTGCCACAATCACCGGACCAACATGCAATATCACACACATTCTACAGCAGGAATTAAAGCAAGATACCTACGCTATTACAGTTATCCAGGGCCTTATTACAGAACCAAATAAATGGGAAGAATGGAAAGTAAAAAATGAGCTGCTTTTTCACAAGTCCAGAATTTATATTCCGGACCACTCCACTCTGAAGGAGAAACTACTCCACGAGTTCCATAGCTCCATGCAAGGGGGACACTCAGGAATCCAGAACACATTCCTTCGCCTCAAAACAGCTTTCACCTGGAAGGGAATGAAGCGAGATGTTAAGAATTTTGTCAAACAGTGTGAGACATGTCAGAAAGTGAAACCACAAAACCATTCCCCATACGGATTATTGCAACCCATTACCCCACCAAACACTATCTGGACCGAACTCAGCATGGATTTTATTACCCATTTACCTAACTCTAACGGTTTTAGTGTTATTTTTGTTACTGTTGACAGGTTATCTAAGGGAGGCCACTTTGTACCCTTACCAGCCAACTTCACTGCAGCACGAGTGGCCAAGGCATTCTGGGAATCCACCGGGAAGCTCCATGGGTTTCCAAAATCCATCATCTCTGATCGGGATCCAGTCTTTCTCAGCAACTTTTGGCGAGCGCTGTTTGATCTGCAAGGAACACAACTGCGTTAC